AGTATTAATAAGGAACAGAAGGGATATGTTGTTCTCCCATAGCATAACGCATCTTAACAAAAAGTTTGGATCTGTCATACTTAACGTCGTAGAAAATTTCTTCGAAATCAGGCTACTCTCGATTTACCCAAAATTAATGCCTATTACCGTCCATAAACTGAACTGAAAAGACAGTTTTCCTTATGAAAAGGCCTTCTCTTGCTGCCTCCGTGGCGTTTTTCACGCACAAATTTGAGGTCGGTGCAATTTTGTGACCCCTCTCGTTCGCGCATGCACCGTTCGACGAAGTTGCGTGGATAACCATTTTCTTTGAGCACCTGCTGTTTCCTGCACAGCCCGCAGTATAAGAAGAGGTCATTGAACGTCTGGCTATCAGAGGACACTGCTTTTCTCTCCGAAAATCAGACTTGTCTGTCTTTTACCGCTCGAAGTGAAATTGCTCCGTCCCACCGAAGTGTCAATGAGAGAGGCAGAGTTTGGGCTAAAACCATCAATTTTAGTATCAATGGTCTAAAAGAATCGGTTTGTGTTAGGATGACCGAGCACGTCACCCAGACAGACAGACAGACAGACAGTCCGAGGTCATGTCGGAACAGGATAGTTCCGACTTCCAAGCCACGCGACCTTCAAAGGGCGGACATTAGGCCAGGGCAAAGAAGGCATGCGAAGTCAGACTGCCCCAGGAGCCGGGTTGCTGTTATCAGTGAGGTCACGCTGCACGGCGCAAGTTAGCGAGTGCGTGTATGGCCACTTGGAGAACAATGGGGAGCAACGACGACTGCTCCTTAAATACCGAGGCTGCGAGCAGAACGGGGACTCTGTTGTGGGACACGCTGCCGACAACCCGAGACTGCTGTCGAAGCGAAACCGACCACAGAAAGCAAGCTGCTGGACACACGGAGCAGAGTTGATGTACTAGTACAAGCGACAGTTAAGTACTAGGTGTTATCCTGTTCTGCCTCCTCTTCCTAACGCGTACTGGGGGAACATAACCGGTGTTGACACAGGAACACACCAGGTTACAACAGTATGTTTATTTCCTGTCAGGCCTCTGCGTTCACATTCAGCGAGCGGCATCTTTAGATTGCGCGAAAAAGAAAATGGCGCCTTTCTTTGGAAGGACCATCTTTGTGGTCATTAGGCATAAAAAAGAACCCTTGGCTTCTATCCCAATCTCCCCTCAACCTCTGTCCAGCCGGGCTATTTAACGCTACGTTTCCATGAGATCCAATAAAACAAAAGGTCTGCTCCCTCGGTGTGTATGCATCCAGGTATGACGCACGATGAAGCGAATCCTACAGGTGCTAACACTTTCTTCTAGCCTAGGGGGGCAGATTATAACATCTGTTGCAAGCGCTATTGTATTTTACAACTAAGGCACACGCACACAAATGAATAGTCCTAGGGTGTGATTTTGACAGACACAGACGGGTTTGTAGTTTTACTGGTCGCTTTCGCTTTGATACATTACCCACACTCCCGCCGCGCCGTGCCGTGCCTCTCCCCACCTACATCATTTTTTGCTTGCTTGGAATGTTCTACATAAGGCCAACATTCCTTCCACTTAATTACAGCTTTGCCTGGATTCGTTAATGTGTACATCTCTCAGCACCACCACCCAGTGAAACGAATCCGCGGGAGTAATCAATAAGGAGTTCATTTTCGGTGGAAAATGGCACGCAGGGGAAAATTTGCAGTTAGCCA